AATCAAGTAAAATTCATTCATACAATACAAGGAGATCAGAGGACGACCAAGAGTTAGAAAAAGTGTACCGATCCAGACTGAGGGCAGCCCACAAGCTAAGGAAGTTATCCTCAGTAAATACTATCACCTTAGACAGTATCAGTATAAATTCCTTTAAGGCGCAAAGCCAAAAAACCACAAGCTTCTGACCCTAAGAGTCCGAATGTATCAAATAAAATACAAGCCTCGGACCTCAAGAATCCGAGGGCATCAATAAAATTCCTCTAAGGTGAATACAGAAATCAAGGAACTAATCGCTTCGGACCCTAAGTGTCCAAATTTAGCATTTTACCTCGTAGCTTCAGCGCCGAGGAACTAATCGTTTCGGACCCTAAGTATCCAAATTCAGCATTTTACCTCTCAGGCTCAGTGCCGGGGAATAACTCTCTTCGGACCCTAAGCGTCCGGCTCAGCAAACTTCCCCTCAGGCTCAGCGCCGGGGAATAACTTGCTTCGATTCCTAAGCGTCTGGCTCAGCAAACTTCTCCTCAGGCTCAGCGATAGGGAATAATTCGCTTCGGACCCTAAGCTTTCGATTCAGCAAACTTCCCCTCAGGCTCAGTGCCGAGGAATAATTCGCTTCGGACCCTAAACGTCCGGCTTAGCATACTTCCTCTTAGGCTCAGCGCCGGGGAATAATTCGCCTCAGACCCTAAATGTCCTGCTCAATACATTACTCTTCGGGTTCAAAACAAAGGAACCAATCGTCTCAGGCTTTAAGGTGCCTAGAGCAAATGTCCTGTGGAAATCGAATTGGCTGGCTCTCACCCTAAGCCCATTAGTATGAGCCATGGAGTTGTCCCACATCGAAAAAACACAAGAAGAAACGAGTATATATATATTTACTCCACACAAATCCATGGCAAGAAGGGTTCCCTTAACGGTTAAGTCACTAGAGGAAAAAATAATCCTCAGACATCAGGTAAACTGTCAAAAGAGATCCCTTCTTCACCTCTTATCTGTATTTGCTTCGAACTACAACAAATATGGAACCCTCAGACAGGGTACTTTACTCAAAACATTACCGCTCAGCAAAGTGTGTGCAATATTAAGAGCATTCGGGAATATTCAATCAAGGCAAACTTAAGGCATCACAGCCTGTAAAACAGAGTTATATCATTCTAAAAGTATTGTTTCATTACAAAGAACAAGGTTACACGACTCTATTTCCTTTTCGGATCAAACGGAGCAGATTTAAAAGCGTCTACCACAGCTGGACTTGAAGTTGGAGGAATTGAGGGGCCAAGAGCAGCTAAAGGATTTGATGAACTTGGAGCTAGAGGATCTTCTGGATGAGCCTTGATTAAAGCCAGACCGATAGGCTTTTGCACTTGACAAACGCACGAAAGTGGAGTAACGGCTTTGCATCTTCTCCCAGTAATGACACAAGTTTTTGTTGCCTTATTAAGACGCTGGATTTCAGCTTCCAATGTCTCCACTTTAGATGCAGACTCGGCCAAATGCTTCATGTAGACATCCCTCGCTTCGAAAGCAATCTCAGCATTCAAAGGTGCATTTGAAGTTTTCTTCTCAGAATTGCTAAGGTCTTTCTCCAACTTCTTGATGGAAAGAGACTGAGCCTCAGCAGTGGCACAAAGAGCCATAGTATGATACAAGCCCTACATCATCAGACGGTAAAAATAGCAATGTAAGTAAAATGGAGAAGAAAGTTAAGAGAACAGAAGAAGAAAGAAGAGCAAACCTCTATGGCTCGAACGGGGGCAGATGGAAGCAACTGTTCCAATCCCATTCTGCCAATAATTTCTTCATCTTTGAGAAACCACATCCCCCTAGCAACTGCCAGTGCAGCAGATGGGTCGGTGATCATAAAATCACCGGAGTGAAGCACCGATTTATCAGCTCTTGAGAAAGAGGGCGTCCAAGGTGCCCCAGTCTCAGACAAAACATATGCTCTGACCTCTTCCTCAAGGTCAGTTTCTTCAACCTTTTTCCCTTTGCTCTTGGAGGAAGTCTTACTCTTGCCGTGGGAAGGTGGATTGGGCCTAGTCTTCTTCAAATGAGGCTCGTCAACCTCTGTCTCATGCTCATTTGATCTGATGACTACCAAAGGCCGATCTTTAACAGCTTTCTTCTTTAGGGCTTTAGCCCTCTGTTTTTCTTCCTCAGTCATTGAGAAGTTATCAAAGGTTGGTAGAGATAGATCCATGAGGTCTGCAGCTACAGCTCTAGAAACAATTTCCTTAAGGTTTGCCGAAGTAAGCAAATCTTCAACAGAAGGGGGCTCGCACCAAACTTGTTTTTCAAGAAAGGAAAGTTCCTTCTTGACAGTAGAGGAAGGAAATGTCACTGAAACAAGACCAAGAAATTCATAAATATAAAGAAAGAGTAAGACTCGACATGGGGAACAACCAGAACAACAGAGAGGAGCAACTCGTCATCGCCGATGCCCTCACCGGCACAAAAATCGGCGCCCTTGGGATATTCTACAATTTCTACCTCCTCGGGAATCTCAAAATCCTCTATTATGGATTCAATGAAAAACTTAATACGACGAACAGATAAAATTGCATTTCTCTCTTCGTTACTAAAAACACTATCCGACCCAGAGGTGGATGTTTCAGCCTGGAATGGAGAAATACCCGGCTGATTGGCCGAGTCATTTGCAGATCTAAGGAAGTTAGAAACCCTAAGAGGAGGAACCCTAATGAGGTTAGAAGAAGACGAGAGCATGGATTCAGAATCCGCGATTTCTACATGATTAGGAGTAGTCGAAGTACTCATAATGCAAGATTGAAAGAAGAAGATGAAGAACTAACCTGGTGATATGAGAATATGAAGAACGCAAGGGACGAAACGAGCGCAGTAAGAACAAAAACAAGTCTTGAAGAAGTCTTTGAGTCAGAATAACAATAGACACAACTGGAAACGCCTCGTGCAAAAGTGGTAACTGCACAACTTCAATTCTCTTTTAATTAGGAGCCGTAGTCCAATTAAAGAGGAATTGGGGGCAAAGTGTGGAGGGAAAAAATCCCCTCTAATAAGATTACTCCACGTCATCACGGATGCAAATCTGTCTTTCAAAGGCCCGTCATGCTCAAGCCCAAATTGAATGTATTCTTAGCCCATGATCATTGTTATTTGCCCTCCAACCTTTATCCAGGCCGAATCAAAAGGTTATCAACCTGATTTGCTAATATCAACATCCGGCCCGTTATTCAAGCCCAGCCGGTTAAAGGTATAGCCAGCCCAGTTATTCAAGGTTGAACAAATCCTATAAGTTGAAGGATTTACCATAGAAGGAAGACTCTGCAATAGGAAGTTCTACACAAAGCAAGTTCTGTGCATGAAAAATTAAATAATGGAAAGAATTCTAATTGTAAAGAAAGTCATACATGGAAAGAATTGGAGGACAAGCAATGCGAGTCCTATCATAATTCTATTACTTTTTTATGTATAAATAGAGACCAAGACCTCCAATAAAAGGAATCCCAAGCGTCCAAGCAATTTTACGCTTTTCTATATACTGTTCTTGGTTATTTTTATTGCTGATTGAGTGAGTTGTTTTATTTCTCTTAATCGTTATTGGTTGAGTGAAATTTTACACCTACAAACCACTTTTTGATGCGGACTAACCATGATTTAGAAGTAAGCATTGTCCCTTTCAACATATTTGAGAAGGAAATGACCTGAACCAGGAACATGGAGTCTTGGTCTTCTCTACCAATCAACACGGCACAGTGGTGAAGACCTGATCTTTCTGCAAATCAACCACTTTTTGATGCGGACTAAACCATGATTTAGAAGGGACTACGTGGCAAAATGGTAGCCAAAAAAAAAATGGACTGAATCAGTGAATTGGACTGAATCCAAGTCACCAAGTCACTGTTGAACTTGGATTGCCGCTCACTGCTGGGTCACTGTTTAGAAAGGACCACGTGGCAAATCAGTAGTCAAAAAAAAAAAATAGACTGAATCAGTGAACTGATAAAAAATGGACTGGACCAAAAAAAAAAAATGGATTGGAACAATTAAATCAACAGTGAACTGGACTGAATCCAAATCACTTTAACATGTACATATTAGATTTGGAACCACTCTAAAGACCACCCAAATCATTCTGTAACTATATGCCTGCTGACATACAAAGTATGCATTAACTTCTCCGAATGTGACATAAATTTTATGAAATGTTTACACCAGTAATAGTGCATCAGCAAAAGATTTCATAACTCTCATTAACATTCCAAAAAAAATAAAAAGAAATTCATAAAGCGAAATAAATAAATGCTGGTAAAGTCAGGACGGCCCAATGTTTCTCTTTAATATACATGCCTCTTGGGTCCAATTGTATATGTAATTTTTAAATTTTTTATAAAATTCTTCATTTCTAGGGTTGTCCCTGGGTTCAATATACGTGGATTTACTTTTTACATAATTTTTTTTTTTTATTTATTCGGTGACCCAAAAATGAGGAGAAAATAGATTGTTCACATTTACAGTTTCAATTTCCTCACATTCGGAGTTTGCAAATCATCCAAGTGTCTAAAATAACTAGCGAGCGAGTTGATTCTTCATTACCGGGGAAAAAAATAAAAAGTCACTGCTATGAATTATATGTTAACCTTCTTTCACCAGGACTCCCAACTAATTTCACATTCCTCCTTGTCATCGAGTTTGTTGGCTGGAGCCTTTCCTGCGTTGAACATATAATCTTCAAAAGTTAAAGAATACATCACTGAAGAGGAATAGTTCTCCTAGAAGTAATGAGAATGAATCCTGTATTTAAATAAAATCATTTTTCCTCCATATATTCCAGTGCTGTACGTAACTCATTTATCTCATGCAGGCAGTATCCTGATTTTGTCTTTCTGCTAAAACTCATTCAGCAAGAGAGAAAATTGGACAAGAAACAAGAATGAACGTAACTTTCGCGTGATCAAGAACTTATAAAACGATATTCTAGGAACTACGCGACAATTCTGCACAATTGGAAACCAGACTATATTAACTCTCTCGTGAAGAAGATATATATATAAGAACATAAAGATCCAACACTAAGCCATGCCAAGATGGAAGTGTCTTGGTACATTCGGACACATTTATGTCAAAAAGGAATGAGCACAGCAAAAAAAAATATATATATCTAAAGCATGGCCGATTCCAATCGTACTGTATTAGGCATTGCGTCTCAGGCTGTCCATTGATCTCTCGTACTGTGTATTCCTCCTCGCACACTCCAATATAGTTTTGTCAGCAGTGATGAAGTATGCAGCAATGGAGGCTGTTCAACAACAAAGAACACTGCATGTGAATTTTCCAATCTAGGGCACATAAATGTACAAGCATTTGGAGAACACATGAAAATGAATTACTCTGTCCTGTAATTCATGGCACTTTGAACTTGGTGCATGTTGCTAGAGACTTCACGTTAACCCTTTACAATATGGTATCCGATAACATATGTAGATAGATCACTACACTAGGTCACAATTATGAATTTATGATATTGCTACTAACATGAAAATATTTTAATGTACTACGATTAAGAAATCAAAAATTGAATGTTTTATGCCACATTGTAACTAAAGATGCCATAAAAAGGTTCATGTCAACAACAAATGAACAGGACACGGGAAGTGAAACGATGTACATAACATGGCATTTGGGCTTCAAGGAGAACCAGATGGGTAAACAGGCAAGCATAGCTACAAATCCATCACCAAGAGTTCAACGAATTGTCTCAATAAAAATAAATAAGAACTATAAAATCCCCACATTTTCAAGCCCAACGAAGGGAAGGTTAGAGAAGCCCCGAAAGGACTCCTATGGGGAAGAGTGGAACAAATGGGCAATGTCCGTTCAAGGAAGGAAGATCAGGCATGAGGAACTTGAGGGTAATTTTTCTTCCAGCAGACTGCATCTTAAGAGAAAATTTTGACTATAGATATTCAATAAAAAGCCGTGAAAAAAATTCCCACACTGTACTCTATGTATAAGGATGATGTGAAGACTAAATAATTTGCTGGTAAAACATGAGGAGGCTATGGAGTTATGGATCCTCCTTTCCTTGATTGGATCCAGTAGGCCATAGCCAGATCCATGTTAGGAGGTGAGATTTGTAAGCAGTGGTGCATTTATGCCTACGGTGGTGCAAGTGGAATTAATTCAAAAGGTGCTTGTGTGAAGGGGTGGAAATGTAAGATTTGGACTTGAAAAAGTTGTTTCTTAGCACCCTTTATAAATTGGCTTGGCTATCCGGACTCCCTATTTTTTGGATTAATATTTTTGGAGACATGGGTACAAATAAATAATTTTCTTTTGCTTTTCTCTTATTCTTTCCCTTGTTCCTATGGATATGTGACATGCAAGTGGGTCCCACTTCCTTGGTGCTTTTTAGTGAATTTCTTACTTTTATAAATACAAAATCAGAGAACTTAAGGGGAAATATATATATACACACACACACACACACACACATAAAGCAATAATATGGTAAAAAGTATGATGCTCTCAAACTAGGAGTTCAGTATAAAATGTGTTCTAACTTTGCGGATATAGAATGTGTTTTCTTCCTAATTGTTTAATTACCTAAAAACAAGGAAATAGTATCAAGCATAGATAATGGTCGTGCCTCAGCACTCTAGGGAAAGGAAAACAGTTTCTCATAAGTTTTAACCGGAAAAAGTAAAGGTTTTCTGAAACTGTATAATTCTACAAGTGCTTCAACTATTCTTGCCAAAAAAATGTTCTGTAAAAACATATTACCAAACAATTTTTTATATACGCCACTATTTTAAAAAATAATAATAATAAATCATTCTCAGGGTCCTTGAGATAAATAATAATAATAATAATAAAATAATAAATAAAAAAAAAACCATCAAATTGCTTTATGAATAAATTCCAATGTCATATCTATCGATGTGGGCAGTCTAATATGCCCAGAACTAATAATTATTATGAGGTCAACAATACAGTTCCTTAAAGATATCAAGCCAGTCATGAAAATCCTAATAAACAATAATGGGACAAGGTTCATTTCTTCAACTCCCCAAAACTGTCAAGCATACAATCAGAAGGGGTATAAAGGAAGATAACAAATTTAAAGCTAACAAAACGTTGAGTAAAAATGTGATTTTCAACCATACCAGCTGATATGATGAGTGCCTGACCAGTATAATTGATGTTTGCCTTTGCCCAAGGAAGCATACGAACAGCAACCAACTAACAATATGAATGAGGAAAACATTAGGCACAGATACAATGAGCTTCCTTTCCATGTACAGGAAAGTAAAAAGCCTAATTCACCCGCGTCAACATCAATGATAATATACCATTGAAGCTTCAAAAGTTAATTTTTAGGTGCCCTTTCCCACGTGTGCTATTCCGAACTGTATGTTCTCTCTCTCTTGACTCCTAAGTGAGGAAAGCAGGTCCACATGGTTAATTAAACCAAAGAGTATGACTGTTACTACATCTGCTTTTGCTTTCACTAAATTCTCTCTCACAATGGAAGACAAAACATCAAACACATGCGGCTATTGTTTTCATGTGCTTTAATAGCTTCTAACACGACGTATCCAACGTTCCACGGGTTGAATAGCCAAAGGTTAAAGGTTTTCATGTAAGCAGCATATTCACATGTTAGTATTCTCATAGTGCCAGTGTAAAATAGAGATGGAATTGAATAGTCTGTGACCCGACTAGAAACCCCCTGCAACCCAAATTGGTTCTAGACAGGTTCAGGAATCATTTTTCCATACCAGGTAGGGTTGAGAAGGGAAGGGGTCGCCCTGTCCCTAAATCTCATTGGTGGCCATTTCCTAGTTAGAAAAGGTTGAAAATAAGGATTAAGCAGCGATGGGGTACAAGTCAAAAAGAAATGTGAAAATTTTCAATAGTACTCCGTTCGTGTTGAGATCAAGGAAAATGCAGCTTTCATACCTTAAAAAATATGCACCACTAGTCTAGTTCCCTTGCTTTGCATAACTAGCTCCTCTCTAGATAAACATCACACTAGTTTCCCTACATCACTAGTGGCTGTTTGACTGAGAAGCTGGTTTAATCTCTACTAATACTCACCTTTTGCTCTTAAGAAGACCTATCAAGAGTCATGACTTCTAAATACCTTGGGTATACTTGGAAGCCTCCCCGAAAGGAAGAACCAAAATTAAATTGGATTTTTCCTAATGGAACCACTTATGCCACTAAATAAAATATTTTGGCTTTCTTGGAAGTTGGAAGGCCTTACAGAGGCAAGCACTGTGGAGTTTCAGTATTATTTAGTCAAAGATGATTAACATATTGTGAGGTTGAAGAAAAAGCAAATCCTTAATTCTTGCACCTATGCCAATCTGTTGAGGGAGATCTCGAATTTATATATTTTCCTTCATGTGGTTGTTACATGATTTTGTGGGCAGATCATATAGAGCAGAGAAGAGCCACTCTTAAATCAATTTTTCCTTAAGGAGTATGGGGCTCTTTTGATTGTTGGGAGCTGTGTAATTTGAATCTATGTTTCTTTCTTTCCTCTTTTAAGTAGCATTTTCTCTCTCAGATGAATCTCTTATCCTTCTCCACTACGCAGTCCCATTTTTCTCTAATAAAATTCTCATTTGCTACCAAAAATATACTCACACTGACAGAGAAATGATGAGAAAGAAAATATTATGTCATGCTATATCATAATTACATGTAAAATAAATGAAAATAAAGATCACATACCGTAGGCACCGCACTAGCAATGCATGCAATGGAAGCTGCCTTGACTCCCTCCCGAACACCTTCTGTTAATTATAAACACTATGTAAATATCAAATCCGGGGCTTTGATGAATGACAACATAAAATGAAAATTATCACATAAAACAAAAATACATTTCTCTTCCACTTGTCTATAATGAATGACAGTACGCGTTGAAAATTTTATAAAAAACACTATTCCTGTGTTGCTAGCGTAGGAAAATAAGGGCCTGCAAAGTATCTTTTTAAAATAAGTTTCTTCTCAAAACAGAAAAAAATTGAAAACAATGTGGAATGTGTTTGGCACCGGATCTTCAAATAACTCTCATAAAAAAATTCCTAAAAAGGACATTCAGGACACTATTTGAGATAGTTTTTCACATTTTCAAAAACTTGAGTATATTAAAAACAGAAAACAACCTAGATATGGCCATATGTTTATGTTTTCCTATTCAGAAACGCAAACTAAAAAACGAAATAAGTTTTAAAATGCAATACCAATTGAGACTTGAACTTTGAATCTTATGCACATTCCCTGTTTATGTATGTGTTATGTATATGTACACAATTAAAATGACTCCTCCTCCCATATAGAAGTATCCAAGAAGGGTTGGTGTCAAACATATATAGGGCTCTTTCTTTAAAGTGTCCTTGCTTCTTAGCTTATTTACTTCGTGCAGAATTGCAGGTTGGTTCGGGAAGTTGAATTTCTTCCCCTTTCCCCTCCCTGAGTTCTACCTTTTAGGTCAATTTTTTTTTTTATCTTTTCCACAAACGGCACACATTATGTTTTCCTAAAATATAAAACTCAACTAAGCCAAGGAGTTATACTAAACACTGGTGAATGATGGCCCTAGCTACGTGCTTTCCCGAATTATAAAACTTATATGATTTAAATTGTATGTTCTTTCATTTTTCTCAGAAACCAATAATACTATAAAGTAAAAAGTTTAAACAAGATAATAAGGAGACAAAATCAATAACTGAATCCAGTGTTATACTAAACACTGGTGAAAAAAATTGTGCCTTAGTTATGTGCTTTCCCAAATTATAAAACTTATATGATTTAAATTGTAATTTCTTTCATTTTTCTCAGAAACCAATCATACCATAAAGTAAAAAGTTTAAACAAGAAAATAAGGTGCCAAATTTCTTAACTGAATCAATGTGTTCAACAAATAAAGGAAGAATGAGGCCTTTCATATAGTGTAGTTCATCAAGTTCAGCATTAATTCAAATCAAATCAAACGTGAATGCAACAATTTTTTAGCAAATACAGCCTAAAACAACAACAAATCTCACGTTTCGTTACCGAGAAAGTGCAAAAAATAAAGCAAAAAATATTAAAGTTTTAATATTGAATCTTAAATTTATCAATATCAAAGACCCATTATTAAACTTAAATGAACTAGCAGATTTATCAGGGTTGAGGTCTGTGTTTACAGAAGAAATGACAACAGCAAACATAAATAAATTTCATTTTTATTTTTCCTCCTGTTTTCTTGCCAAACAAACATAAGAAAATAAAATAATCAAACCTTGAGTACAATTCCTTGATCTCAAAATCTTCTGATCTTCAGCGGGAGAAGCAATCAACGGAGAATTCCTTCGACCTGTAAATGCGTCCCTCATTTTCGAAGGAATCACCATTTTGTTCTCTGATTCGAATTTCTATTGCAATGAATCCCCAGAAAATTAGCATCGAATTTGATGAAATTAGAATAGCAGAGGCATAAGAAAAAAATAAACAAATATTTCGTTTTCTAACCTAAATAACTACCGCGAACGCAGGTAGGAGAGAGGAGGAGATGGCGAGAGTCGTGTTGAGGTTTGCAGTTTCACTCACATTGGTGTGTGTTTTGTGTGTGTAATATATATATATATATATATGAATTGGATTGAAGGTAGAAAATACAGCGTCTGGTATGGACGGCGCACATTGTATTAAGGCTGAAGCGGTGACACCCACAATTTCTATGATTTGTTTGGTACAAAACCCGCTTTGACTGTTTGACTGAAATATTGCTTTTCCGAAAATTCTCAATATAATATTAGCACTTTAACTTATAGACTTATAAAATTAAAAAATAATAATAATAAAAAATATATGTGTTAGCGAAAAAAAATATTTTGACAATATAATATTAGCACTTTAACTTATATACTTATAAAATTAAAAAAAAATAATAAAAAAAAATATATGTGTTAGCGAAAAAAAATATTTTGAATTTTTTTTTGAACGTGGCATGAATACGTTTGAAACAAGTATAATTGTGTAATTATCTATTTTTAGAAGAATTTTAAAAAAACATTCATCTAGTTTTAAGTTCAAAATTAGTGATTTTTTTTTTCATGGTAGTTTAGATAAAATCAACAAAAGTTTATTTTTTATATAAATAGCATTTATATTATTGTTTTTGGATGTGTTCTTGTTGTACCCGTATTTATTTGTTTTTTATTTATTTTAAAGAATTTAAAAGAAAAAATTTGTCGCATCACTTTGCTAGTGAGCTTTCAGTGTCCATATTTGTGCTTTATTAGACATGTGTTTGGTGTCCATATATTACTTTTGGGAATACCAAATTGCACTTTGAATTTGAAATTAAAGAAAATTTAATTTACACTTTATACTAAATTTCTTTCAGTTTCAAATCCAAAACCCCAATTCATTGCTCCCAAATTCTCATTGTGGAAAAAGAAAAGCAGCACAGAAGAAGAAGAAGAAGCAAACTTTCCTTTCTCATACTATCATCAGTAAATTTCAGAAACAAATTAATAAAACTGGCTCTTTCAAGTTTCTAACACAAGGGCATATATTTCCAGATCAACTGGCAACAATGAATAAAATAAATATGAAAAAAGTCTACCAAGAACACCTCCATTTCCATGAACATCCCATATCATTAACATAATCCCTTCCACAGGGAGAGGACAATGACAAATAGTTCATACAGGAGACCACATATATATATATATATTGTACCAATCCACACAGTTCACCAGCATCACTTCTAATTACATAAAATACACCATCCAACTTCAAATAGGTTGATGCAAGCTCCCAGAGGGGAAAAAAAAATACAGACCCTCATCCGAAAAAAGTCAAAAAAAATAAAAGATAAAAATAAAAGTAAACAAACTAGAACAACTAGAGACCCTGATCAATGAGATAATCCCCTAGCCTTTCAACAATCATGTTGCATTGCCCGGGAGTCATAGGCTCGTCATATATTCCGATGATCAAAGCTTGATTAGTCTTCTTGATAGTAACACCACCAGGGCCCTGAAATAAGTGTAAACTAAAGGAAACAGGGAAGACCAGGGACAACTATTGTGGAATATTCACCTTAATTATAATCAATGATTGAATAAGACGTTATCACATATAGAAACAATTGCAGCGGTTGAAGTGCCCCTCTCCACATCAGATCAAAATGTTCCTATTTGAAATATATATATATCTATATATATATATATATATATATATATGGGGAGCAGGTATAATCGTTCATCAAGTTCTAAACTTCTTAACCACTAGGGTTTCAAAAACATATTATGTGGGAAAACAGTGTCGACCCCAACAATAGTATCAAGCCTTCTCACAGCAAAAGTTTTCAACATAAAATGGATTACATTTTTGTTATTAAAATTGGGCAAATCATGCACCATAATATTATATTCTTTTAATGCATAAAAAGGCAATTTTGGCTGCTTAGCTAAAAACTGTTCAATGTGAGTGAGCGGACAGGTTATATTGTTATCCAAACTGAAAAGAAAACAAAAGTGGCATAAATTTCAAAATTCACGGGTGGCATAAAATAGGATTCAGCAGTATGCATGATCCTAGATTCAGCAGTATGACAAAGATGGTTTGAATAGAAACACATATTTTAAACAAACCATACAATCCTTTTTTGAGTATTAACAGCTGCATCATCAATAAAAAAATTAAAAAAAACATTTTTAATAGATAATGATTCAGAACCCTTCCATCTTGCCGTAGTGGCCCAACAAAACGAATTTATTTTGTTGGCAAAAATAGGCTCATAACTTGTATACACCAGAGAAAGGGAAGGGAGTTCAAAGGGTTAAAATATTGAATGCCAGCATTGCGATTTTCATTGTATTTGAAATGAAAATTCATCACAAAATTGAGTCACGATGAAGGCTAGGAGAATGCACCATAGCTCTTTGTATGTGGTTGTTTTCGAGTTTCCCCAAAAAATAAATATAAAAATTCAAAATACTTGAATTCTGTTTTTGAGATGATTGCCATTTTTCCAAAAAGTTCCATCCAGGATGATGGAGTTTTTCATTTTAATACTACGTCAAACATGAATAAGAACATTCTGATTCAAGGGACATCCAATATGCACCCATAAATGAACCATCCAATGATAACACTTCTTACTGTCAATGAAATGAACAATCTTTTGTTCAATCAATACAACATGTTCGAACATTGGAAAGGTCACCATCAATCAAGGTAATGTTATAAAACAAGTGAAAGAGTATGGATTTGATAGTCATCACCTTCTTTCCTCGTATGACGGCCCCTGGTTCACCTTGGATCACCATATACTTAGTGCCACCAAAGTATAAGCCAGTTGGTGCAAGCGACCCAGGTTCAGAAAAATCATTCATTATAGCAGTTATTTCTTCAGGCTTAAACTGAAAAATAAAAAAATTAATCTTGATTCTATACAAAAATAATAAAAGATAACAACCAACATTCCTGATACATATACAACCATGTGATGCATTCTGGTCATCTTTCTTAGTGAAAGGATTTCCAATCTATTATCCACCTTGCACCAACTTGAGTACCCAAAATTGTTCATTATATTTAAGCAAGTATAATTTTCTGTACATGTATCAATAATACACGCATGGGATGCACAATCCAAACACAAGCATAGTCGTATATAGATGAAGTTAAAACCAGGGTCGTGTATTCATAGGAAATACTCTTTTGGACAAATGACAGATGAAATTGACAAGATTTTAGTATTGAAGATTTAGAATTAATTACCACTACAAGTTAATAGAGCCATGCACAATGTTTATACCATGCACAATGTAATTCATAACTCCACCACATCCAACCAGCCTGTTATTCAACTCACAAGAAGTTAAGCATAAGGTGTCGAAGCAGGTTGATACGAGTCCCTCGTGAAATACTGGTTAGCAAGATGCACCTCATGAGATAAATGCCACTAGGAAAAGAACGCAAACTGGTTGAAATGAAATGAAAGTGCGAAATGTATCTCCGAACCCGGTGACATGTCAAAGTCTGTTTGCAATTAATTAGAAAACTAATGCGAGTCTTTGCATTTAAATGGTTCATTTTGGGAAGTTGGTTAATGAAGTTCAACACCATCAAAGAACTGAATCTTTTGCATTGCTACACACATGCAGTTGTGTCAAACGATGTCAAGCAATTAGCTCCTTTTCCCCAACAACAAGCATCACTGGTTACTTAAGATCAGAAGAGCAGCATTAGCCAATTGAAGTGGGTATTCAAATTTTTATTTTTTTCCATTTCGAGGGAAATTATATGATATGAATTACATAGATTGACACAAGTTCGGCAGCCAAAAACTAGTATAGGAAATACTACAGCTGAATACATACAGACACATATTTATGTATGATTTATCTCCATATACACTCTATGCTCACCAGAAACGCCAACCTAAATATATGATTCAGAAAAAAATAAATTAATAGATTACAAGAACGAACGTGTAAACCCAAGCACCAAAATCAAATAAAACTCAATATGTAAACATATATATAATATCATATAAACTGGAAATAATCACTGAGATCTAATTAATTCAACTAGTACTAACAAAAAAAATCACTCATTTTTCTTGTCGTTTTCATAGAAACATATCAACCTATCAATTTGAACACGCATTATTGATTAATTAGTTGGATTTAAGTAGATAGAGGACCGGAGAGAAAGAGGCGCTCTGAGCCCATACAGTGTCTTATTGGCAGATGATAGCAGCAAAAGTCAGGTGATTGCCTTCAATTTTGCACATCAAGTGCTCATCTACATTGGTTTGCCACAACAGTTCCACTGTGTTTTCCGATTTGATTTGATTTGATCTGATCTGATGATCTTCATTTTTTAGTTTAGATTCTTCAAAGAGCATTGCGAAATTGGGGGATAAAAAATAAAAAATACGAGGGAAGGGGTTGTGAAATCTAAAGGTTGCGTTAAAAATAAGCTTCACGAAAGAAGAGATACGATTAAACGATTACCTAAAGGGTAAAACACACTCACTCCTATGCTTAGCGGAAATACAAGCACAATTTTTTAAAGAAAGTTGCACTTATCACCAATCCATTTGAAATGCGTCTAAAATTAGTATTATACCCAAACTATTACAATAATATTATAAATGAAAAATCAGATCTTGTGGATTGACATCTTTGCTCACCAATTATTATAATTATTTCCCTTCTCTCCTTTCGTTTTTTTTTCCTCTCTTCTCAACCTCCTACCCACCACCACCCTAACCACTCCGCCACCAACAATCATTACTTGTACTTTTAAAAAAACAACAAAAGAGGAGCACCAACATTGAGAGCAAGTAGGATAAGATGTGGTAAGGTAAGACGAATTAGTTAACTGATATACATTATTTTTAAAATAACAGCATATTATGCAATGATTCCTCCATATAATTATATTGTAAAGATTCATAATTAATAGCTCTTTTTTGGAATAACATGACTTCCTAAGACAATGTAGATTGGATCATTGGAGTGAACTTGAATTACTCAATGAAGTAATAAAACAAGAAGGTTGCAGCATGTGTAATGTTAATGTGTGTTACTATTTATTTGATTAAAAAATTGAGTTGATGATCCAATAGTCATTTTATGAAAAAATTTGTTGGACTACTGTTGCCACGTACTACCACTCGTAAACCCAGGTGAGGAGTTGATTCGCTTGCAAAACAAGAATTGATAAATTGTTATGGGATAAGCGTGTGTACAATTTAGTTTATCTAAAGCCTTTAGATACATGACTACGTATGAAATAAGCATGGAGAACGATAATCAATTTGAGGTTGTAAGAACAGACCAAATGTACTTTGGATTTATATATATTTATGATCGCTTATTTTAACTATAACTTTAGTGTGTTTGATATCCTTCTTTAAATTCTTTGATAAAGTTAACCACACTAGTTGATGTCAAATATGAGACAGACATTTCGCTGCTGCAATGCCAATATGTATCGAGAGTCTTTCTTCTCTGTTATCATTCAAGTCTGAAGTCGATTTGACTGACAAATTCCCATTCTCTCCCAACACTAGTTTTGCCTTCTACAAACGGCAAGGAGTCAAATGCCTCCAAGGTGAAGTGGTCTTACTCGTCCCCAAAGGGTTCAGTCTTGGCGTCTCTTTGGGACCAACACATTAACTCATCTTTGACCAATTGCGAGAGAACTACTCGCTCACTGAACCCCTTCCGTGTTAGGGAATTAGACGGAACTAATTCCTTTAGGACCCTGCCGTCAATACGCACAATAAGATGCACAAGATCACAAGACAAGAATTATACGTGGTTCGGCCAACTTTGCCTATGTCCACGGCACACACCAGAAATTCACTATATTCGTTGGGTAATTATAAGATGTGGATCAACAAATCCCACACACACATACACCGTGTATCTCTCTCTCACTCCTGAAAAATACACTCTGTGTTTTCTTACTCACTCTCTGCAAAATACACACACTGTATTTCTCTCCTTTTTTCTCTCTCTTATCTCTCACTTACTCTACTCTAATCTGAGCTACTAAGCTTCACTTGTGCATTTTTCTTCTCAACGATTTACATAAAGCCTTCAATTTGCTCATCTATTTATAGGCAAAGCAAGCATTGTCGTGTTCAAATTGGAGCTGCAATTGTGGAAGTACTTTGCATGGTTGATGACAACCATGTAGAGAAATTGAGAATGTGAAACCAATAATTAAGTTGGTGAGCCGCAACTGATGACCATCTAGAAGGCTGCCTTGAAAGAAATATGAGCCACAATCTTTAACACCGATAACAATCTCCTACTTGGCGAACTTTGAACCAGTAACTCAACTCTAGTGATAACGGTGCGCTTATTTCTGTCTTCAAGCTAGAAGACCGACTAAAGTTGAGCAGAACTTCAGTTTCTCTGTAGTCACTATCTTGGTTAACATGTCAGCCGGATTCTTGGTGCCAAGTATCTTGTCAAGTGTCAACATCCCATCTTCCAACAAAGATCTGATGAATTTATACCGAAGTCCTATATGCTTGGTCCTCGAATGAAATGCTGAATTCTTTGCCAGATGTATAGCACTCTAAGTATCACTATGCAAAATATTCTTCACCTGCTTGAATACCAACTCTGCCAACAAGCTCTGTAACCAGATCATCTCCTTGCTGGCCTCTGTCACAACAACATACTCTGCTTCTATAGTAGATAACGCTACAATCTTCTGTATCTGCGAAACCCAACTAATTGCAGTCATACCTACCGTGAAAACATACCCGGTAGTACTTCTTCTGTGATCCACTTCATCAGCAAAGACATCTTTCTGTGGTACCCTGTAGATATCTCAATATCCACTTCACTGCTTCCTAGTATAGCTTTTCTGGATTCGTCATGAATCTGCTTACAGCTCCCGCTGCATATGCAATGTCTGGTCTCGTGCAAACCATGGCATACATCAAACTTCCAATGGCTGAGGCATACGGAATCTTTGCCATGAAGTTCACCTCATCATCTGTCTTCAAACACTGATCTTGGGATAATCGGAAGCGATTAGCTAAGAATGAACTTACCGACTTAGATTACTCGTGTTAAACCTTTTCAGAACCGGTTTAACATACTCAGCCTGAGACAGCTGCAAAGTACCTTTCTACTTGTCCCTATTAATCCTCATCCTAAGATTCTGCTTTGCTGCACCAAGATCTTTCATCTCAAACTCGCTCGATAGTTGTTTCTTCAACTTATTGATTTCTTCAAAATCAGAACCAGCTACTAACATGTCAACATAAAGTAGGAGGATGAAGTAACTCGTCTCAAACCTTTTGAAGTAGTAGCAATGGTCAGTGTTGCACTTGTTGTAGCCATGTCTCTGCATAAACCCATCAAATTTCTTGTACCACTGCCTCGAGGCTTGTTTCAAACCGTACAAGCTTTTCTTCAACTTGCATACAAGTTTCTCCTTTCCCCTAACAGAGAAACCCTCCGGTTGTTGCATGTAGATCTCCTCCTCTAGGTCTCCATGGAGGAAAGCAGTTTTGACATCTAACTGCTCAAGGTGCAAATCTTCTGCTGGAACAATGCTTAAAATTGACCGAATGGTTGTCAGTTTCATAACCGGTGAAAAAATGTCGGTGTAGTCGATTTCTTCCTTCTGCTGAAAGCCTTTGACCACCAATCTTGCCTTGTATCTCTTGGAACCGCCATATTCTGCTTTGACCCTGTAGACCCATTTGTTGTGAAGAGCTTTCTTTCCCACGGGCAACTCGGCAAGTTCCCATGTCTTGTTTGAGATAAGGGACTTCATCTCATCTTCCATTGCAAATTCCCGCTTGCTAGCGTCTTCAACCTGGCATGCTTCGGCATAGCATTCAAGCTCACCACGATCTGTAAGCAACATATAATCCAAATATTTTCGATTTGGAACAGGAAGTCGTGGGGACCTTCAGAGTTTGGGTGTTGGAGTTGGACTTCGTGATGTACTCTGATCGATGAGTTCCTGCTGTGAACTTTCAACTGTCTGATCCTCAACATCTTCTGGATCATCATCCAACTCGACATACTCAAGGCTCCTCTGTGTCGGATTAGTTTATTCTGTTGTATCTCTACCCTTGTACATCACCTTCTCATTGAAAATCACATCTCTACTTCTGATGATTTTCTTCTTCTGGTAATCTCAAAGTCGATAACCAAATTCATCTCCATTATACCCAATGAAGATGCATTTTAGTGCCTTGGGGTCAAGTTTTCCCCTAGCATGGTCACTAATATGCGCATATGCAACACAACCAAAAACTTTCAACCACGAAAGATTTACCTCCTTGCCGCTCCATACCTCCTCCGGTATCCGATACTCCAAAGGCACCGAAGGTCCACGATTAATTAGGTAGGCTGCTGTGTCGACTGCTTCTGCCCAGAACTGCTTGGGTAGACCCGCATGTATGCGCATGCTTCTGGCTCTCTCCGTCAATGTTCGATTCATCTATTCTGCCACCCCATTCTGTTGTGGGGTTCCTTGCACAGTTCTCTCCAATCTGATTCCATTCTCAAAACAGAACTTCTTAAACCCGGTGTCTTCATACTCTCCACCGTTGTCTGATCTCAACCTCTTGATCTTCAAACCTGTCTCATTTTCCACCATGACCTTCCAATTCTTGAACACCTCAAACACTTCAGATTTGTGTTTCAAGAAATAAACCGATACCTTCCTCGTATGATCATCAATGAAAATCATGAAGTAAGATTTTCCGCCAATTGATGAGACTGATGCTTGGCAGACATCTGTGTGAACTAGCTCAAACTTCTCTTTTCTGAGAGTTCTGCCACTCCTTTTGAAACTAACCCTCTTCTGCTTATCCATCACGCAACTCTTACAGAAGTCAATATCAATCTCCTGTATGCCTGGTAGTTTCCCTTTTGAGTGCATGATTTTGAGCCCATTTCACTCATACGACCTAGCCTCTGGTGCCAAAGGTTGTGATCCTTCTTGCTTTCTACAACTGCTATTGACCCATAAGCACTAGTGGTTGTGTAGAGAGTGTCAGCCTTCTTACCATGTGCAATGGTCATAGCGCCTCTGGAAACCTTCCACGAGTCTCTATTAAAGGTTGGAACGAAACCTTCTAATGACAGTTGACTCACAGAAATCAGATTCTTCCTCAAGTCAGGGATGTGTCGAACATCTTTCAATTTCCATATAGATCCATTCAGCTTGATTTGTATTTTACCCTTGCCGACGATACTGCAGGGTTAATCATTGCCAAGATACACCTTTCCCAGGTTACCCGGTACATAAATCTCAAAGAGCTCTCGACTTGAGGTTGCATGAAATGATGCTCTGGAATCTAGGACCCATGATTCCGCCTTGCTCTCCAAAAAGCATATCAGCGCATCGTCTGATTCTTCTGAGACCACGTTCGCCTCTGTTTTGTTCTCCTTTTCCGTCTTTCGGAGATCTACACTTGTTTTTGTAATGAACAATTTTGCCACAATTCCAACACTCAACATCATTGTGGTCTGTGGAATTCTTGGCATTTTGAGGCTACGTTCTTCCGTTCCTCAACTTGGATCTGTCTCTGTTCTTATTACCATTACCCTTCTTCTTGTTTGAACTCCTGCCTCTATTGTCAACATTCAAACCCGAACCACTAGTAGAAACTCATGTTATTTGCCTTCTGATCTCCTCGGTCAGAATTATGCTCACAACATCGTCGAACTTCAACATAGACTTCCCTGCAAAGCTACTAATCGTAGTAGCTGTGCCAGTCCAACTCTCGGGTAATTGCCCTAGAATCAGTAATGCTCGGAGCTCGTCTTTGAAGTCGATTTCAACAGACTCTAATTGGCCAACAATCTCGTTGAACACATTTAGATGCTCGTTGACTCTTCCACTTTCGGTCATCTTCATGTTGAACAATTTTTTAATCAAATGTACCTTATTGGCTGCAGATGGTTGTTCATACATACTAGAAAGGGCCGCCATGAGAGACTTCGTCATCTTCTCGTTCTTGATGTTGAAGGCAACGAACTTTGACAACATTAATCTAATAGTGCCAAGAGCCTTCCAATCAAGCAATTCTCTGTCGTCAGTGTCAAAGATTGTGGCTCACATTTCTTTCAAGATAGCTTTATAGATGGTCATCAGTTGCGGCTCACCAACTTAATTGTTGGTTTCACATTCTCAGTTTCTCCACATGGTTGGCACCAACCATGCAAAGTATTTCCACAATTGCGGCTCCAATTTGAATACGGCAGTACTTGCTTTGCCTGTAAATAGATAGGCAAATGGTCTGCTTTATGTAAAGCGCAGAGAAGAAAAAAGCACAAGTAAAGCTTAGTAGCTCAGATTAATGCAACATTAGTTTTGCCTTCTACAAACGGCAAGGAGTCAAATGCCTCCAAGGTGAAGTGGTCTTACTCGTCCTCAATCAGTCTTGGCATCTCTTTGGTACCAACACATTAACTCATCTTGACCAATTACGAGAGTACTACTCGCTCACCGAACCCCTTCCATGTTAGGGAATTAGACGCAACTAATTCCTTTAGGACCCTGCCGTCAATACGCACAATAACATGCACAAGATCACAAGACAAGAATTATACGTGGTTCGGCCAACTTTGCCAACGTCCACAGTGCACACCAAAAATTCACTATATTTGTTGAGTAATTCCAAGATGTGGATCAGCAAATCCCACACACACATACACCGTGTGTCTCTCTCTCACTCCTGAAAAATACACTCTGTGTTTTCTTGCTCACTCTCTGAAAAATACACACACTGTATTTCTCTCCTTTCTTCTCTCTCTTATCTCTCACTTGCTCTGCTCTAATCTGAGCTATTGAGCTTCACTTATGTTTTTTTCTTCTCTGCACTCTACATAAAGCCTTCCATTTGCCCATCTATTTACAGGTAAAGCAAGAACTGCCGTGTTCAAATTGGAGCCGCAATTGTGGAAGTATTTTGCATGGTTGGTGCCAACCATGTGGAGAAATTGAGAATGCGAAACCAACAATTAAGTTGACGAGCCGCAACTGATGACCATCTAGAAGGCTGCCTTCAAAGAAATGTGAGCCACAATCTTTGACACCGACAACATTCCGGATATCTACTACTACAGCTACATTGACAGCCTTCAAAAGAGTTGTTCATCTTTGACCTTAATTTTCATTTAATCTCTAATCTAGATAACTTTGTCCAGAATTTAAAAAATTATATGAATCTAATAAGGTGGTGCTTGATAAACTAAAAATTTTAAGAGTTAAATTTTTTAAGTGCTGAAGTTTTTAGGTAGTAATTAAAAATTAAAATTTTTTTATACCTTTTTTGAATTCTAAGTGTTCAACATTCTCTGATATGAAGTTATTGTCACTTAAAAAGCTTAGTTTTTAAAGTGATATTCAAATTGCGTTATTAAATGCACTTACTTAGACAAACATTGAATTCGTTCAAAATTAAGTGCTCAATTAGGTTATCAAACACTGTAGTTTATGGTTCAAATAAATACTTAAATCCAAATAACACATGGCTTGTCCTTGCAATTCTCTTATTGATAATCTTTTTCCAAACTAATTCTAAACTTAGTCACGCATCTATATAAAGCTTTAAATTAACTAGATCCACACTCATCCGTTTCAATTGTGGTCGAAATTTTATCATAGTAACAATATACTTGGTATGGTTTTGCAAGTAGAATCAATGAGTCGTTTCAGGGCCACAATACCCAGCAACAATCTTCCTAAAACAATTATTTATCATTACATTATTTATTTAATCCAATTTTTTTTTTTTTTTATTTACATGAATCTAATTAAATTTAGCATATGTTACACTTCCATTATTTCAGTGAGTATTTCAAGTTCACTCCAATCTACATTATCATGACAAATAATTCGTTTTATCCTACTAGAACCCTGCAACGCTAGATGTCATTGTTGGGCGATCACTCTATCTTTTGCATTAAAAATGTTAGGAATGGTTGTTGGTGGCCATGCTTGGGGGATAGTGGTGGGAGCTTGAGAAAAAGAAAGAACAATTTAAGCATGAGACTATTCCAGTTCATATATATATATATATATATATATATATATTGGGGTATGACAATTGGCCAATTGAAGCAATATAGTCTGCATGACACATAGATTAACACAAGTTGAGCAGCCAAAAACTAGTATAGAAAATACAATAACCGAATACATACATGTTCTACATAAGTCTGTATGTAATGTGAACCCAATCGCCAAAATCAAACAAACCCCAATCTCTAAACACATATATAATATCATATAAACCCGAAACAATTAGCGATATCTAATTAATTTCAATAATACTAGTAATAAAACTTACTCGTTTTTTCGTCGTTTCCATGAAAACACTTCAAACTATGAATGATTTAAATACAAATTATTGATTTAATTAATTAGATCTGAGTAGATAGAGGAGAGGACCTGGGGAAAAGAGGCGCTCTGAGCCCAAACGACGCCGTCTTGGCCGACGATAGAAGCAGAAGTGAGCTGATTGCCTTCCATATCGCACATCAAGTGCTCATCTACATAGGTTTGCCACGACATTTTCCTGTGCTTCACAATTTGCAGACTCTTCGTCTTCTTGTTCGAGTCGAATCGACTTGATCAGACGATCTTTAACCGTGTTTTAGCTAAGAGGTTTCGAAGAGCTTTGTGAATTTGGCGGCCAAGAAATATAGAATACGAGGGAAGTGGGTGTGAATTGTTATTCTAGTGAATTTTAGAGGTTGTGTTGAAAATAAACTTAAATGTGTGATTTTTTTTAGGTAAAAGAACGATAATGCACTCATTTCAGTATAATAAATTAATAAGTATAAATTTTAGGCCATACAAAATGACAACTTTGTCCAATTTGTGTAGAAATTTGTTTGTTCGGGACAAAAATAAAATAAACCTAGTGTTTTATAAATACGTACAGTTTGTTTGTTTATTTGGGACAAGAAAATTATATATTTTGTAAAGCTGAAAAACTATATAAAAAAATAATATTTATTTAATTTTTTAATTATATTATAAATCTAAATGCAACCATTAATATAACAAGCATCTGTAGTCATTACTTAATAAATTTTGAATTTTTCTCATTAATTATATATATATATATATATATATATATATATATATATAAGTTAGTACATTTTAATGTTTAAAATTTATTAAAAATATGTTATGAAATATTTGAAAAGCATCAAATACGTAATCGAAGTATCGAATGTATGTTAAAAAATAAAAAATATATATATTTTAAAAACATGGATTTGTTTAAAAAGTATCGAACATAAATCTACAAGTATCGATATTCAATACGTATCTGATACGAGTATTTCGTTCTCTTAGAAATATCCGTACTTTCATCCCTTCCCGTTATTTTCACTAATTTCTCTATATTATTTTGATTTAAAGGTTTCGGTCACCAGTTTATAAGTCAACATTTATTAGACACCTTACCTATACATTCTAACAACATATTCTAACTATTGAATTGGTATTAAAGATGCCATCAAGTTACAAAACCTTATTTGCTAATTTCAGATTAAGACTTTTAATATTGATAACGTGATTAGGAAATAGTTATAAGGTGTTATTTAAACATGAATTAAGATAGTTTAATTAAAGAAACATGTACTTTGTGGTCACATTTTATTTTTAACTTGTGAATATTTAGCTTTACAACAACTTAAGTCTATGATGAGCAAAAAGGATGAGAAGATGTTTTAAATGCAATTTAAGATTAATCTAATTATACTTGATAAAATAAATAATTAAATTACATATAATTTACTCTTGGAAAATTAACAAAAGCTAACACAAATGGGAGGGTTATGCATATATGTAATTTAATGATTAATGTGAGGGGCAAAATAGGAATAAAAAGGGTAAAATCAGATTTTTCATATTTATTTTTTGTCAAAAAGTAATTAAAGGGGCTTATTTGCATTTTTTTTTAATATTATGCACTGAAATGCACTTTTTCTAAAACAGAGGGCCTATATTATAAGGAGGCCCTTTTTTATTGTTATTTGTAAATTGAGCAGTGTTATTTGGAAAATAAAATAAAATGATATATTGTTTTATATTTTAAAATGCATGAAATTTACAAAAAAGAAAAGAAAAAAAGGATAATATTGAAGGTTCATTGAGAAAAAGAGAAAAGAAAAGGATAGTGTTGGACAATCTTATATTGTGTTTGACAAAGATAGTTGAGCCAAAAAAAAAAATAGAAAATAATTGTTTTATTTTGTGAGTGATAAAGGTAAAATCGAAATTCACTTACAGTAAAAGTTAGAGACAAAACAAGTAATTACCAACTCATTTATTATATTTGGGTGGGCATAACCCGAACAACTTGTCCCATCCGAAAATTTTGCCGAAGTGGGCAAGGTACTTTAAACCATGTAGTTGAGTTTAAATTTAAGAATCCATTTTTATTTTGGATGGGATTTGAGCAATGGTTTTACTCCAAATCACATAATTTTTTTAAGAACTCATTTTTTGAACGTGCTCTCGCTCTCACGTTTTACGCGCGTTCTCACACTAGTCTAAGTTGTGTTTCTTAAATTTTGCCATTCACGCTCTCGCATTCGTTCTCGATCCCGTTCCTACTTTATGTGACTTAGATTTTACTAACGGAAGAACTCGAAATACAAAAAAAAGTTTATAATTGTTATATTTTTAATTATATAATATACATTACTTGTCGCTTATGTAAAATAAAATTAAAACTAAATGATTTATAGTATCATGAATATTAACCTAACTTGGACTCGCTTGAAAGTAAGTATATATATTATACTAAATGCCATGTTTGGTTGCATGGGATTGATTAAAGTTTAAACTAATTTTTCTCAAATACCATTTTTGAGGCACCAATTTCATACAACAAAAAATAACATAACTGAATTTTAGTTAAAGAAATAAATAATGAAGAATATAAAATTTTGAGTTCTTTTCAAATTCTACTCAAGTTTTATTCACCCGACGCAAAGAAGTTGCCAAAAAAAAAAATTTGCAAAGAAAACCATACTTTTGTCAAGTGTTTGTGTGTGTGTTGTAATTATTTATTAATAAGTTATTTAAATTTTGGATGACTGGAAAAACACAAAAACTCGTGAGATAGTGCGAGTTGAGATGCAAAGGGCTCAACAAACTTTTTGCTTGGTACGGGCTTGAGTTTGATGTGAGCTAACCCATTAGATCCACCCAAGTCTCATCCCTGAATCAAAATCCAGGTCATTATTCTCAAATTAGTTAGGTAAATCGCGCACTCTGACTTGTTTGAAAGGGATTTATGAGAGATGGTAGCCCTACCACATCACGGCATCATTCTATTACGAACAATTCCGAATGTTGGACTATAAATTATTATTCTTGTCAAATTATAAGGTAAAAAGTCGAGTTTTAAAGTTAAGTTGTGACACAAAGTCTGAAAGTTAGACACATTCGACTATATTTATGTGAATGACTAAATGATATTATCATGAATGTAATCAAATGTCTCCGATTTGTAAACTATTTATCATTTTCCTTTCAAGTTTATGTGACAATCAAATGAATGTAAAGTAGTGATACTTTAGAGACATAGGCGTGCCATGCTTTATCTGGGTGGCTGTTGAGAGATTTTATTTACTTTCTTTCCATTGTTTCAGAAGATGAAAGGCTAATTTGATAATGTTTGGTAATCGTATTTACTTGTTTGTTTACTGTCCATTGTTTTAGGATTTTGTAAAGGTTTCCAACATTGTATAGAAATGTAAAGAGTAGCGGGAGTTTTTTTAGTTGTAAAGAATATTATTTTAAAACTTATTATAAAACTCTATACACTGTTTCGTAGATATTTGTACATATCTTAGCAATTCATTGTAAGGCTCTTAGCCTATATAATGAGGTGAGAAACTCATTTACTCCTCCCAAACAAGTTCGATTGTAAAAATTTCTCTCCAGCGAATACTATTTCTCTCGGACAAGTTTAAAATTAAAATAAAGAAAATCAAGATTATGCAGAACGTGACTTGAGATTCAAGAGAACTTCTTTTTCTAAGATAAAGAGAATCAAGATGATGCAGAACATGACTTGAGATAGCATTTTAAATTCAAGAGAACTTCTTTTTCTAAGATTTCATTACAAAATTGAATTACTATGAATCTATTATTGGACTCTCAGTTGTTGTTGGAATCATATCATATCATATAAATTACAATAAATATAATTACATAAATAATAATATTTTGAAATAACATTGATTTAAAAAATTAAATATAATTTCAAATCTAGGTTTAAAACAACATTATTTTAGTATTCAATGCTGAATTTAATTATTTGTATCCCCAAGAAGTGGTACACTCACTAAGAGCTAGTAAGTCAGTAGTATCGAACCTGTACTTATTAAAGAGAGGTCAGTGGTGTAAACTCTAATTAATTTGTGTTAAACATTAATCACAAATTATCATAAATTCTTAGATCTTAGAACTTCAACTAATTTCACATCCTTATAATGCATAAATAAATATAGTTAGATATAAATACATCGATTCATGATATCAAACCTCCTTGAGATTAAATTTAATGTCCAGATCCTTTAAGCACGAACCAATCTGCAACTCTGATCAACAGGTAAAGGTGGAAACTGGTTTCTCTTTCTTGGTTTTTTGCACACAAAAACCTCTTACGTGTTGTCTCAATGATCGTACATAATTGATGGAGCATATGCACTTTTATAAAGGCAGAGAGAGGACCAGTTTTCCTTTTAGAAACATAATTCTACTTTTCATCAAAATAAGGAATTAGAAGGAAAACACTTCTCCAATAAGTAATTACCAAAAAAGTAATTATAAGTTGACCAAGAATAATTAATTGATATCTATTTACTTAGCCACCAAGTAATATGTCACACGTCCAAATCATGTGGGCCACAATTAAATAAATAATCTTACATTCTCCCACTTGGCACATATGATAACTTCTGTAGTGGTTTAGTAAAATAGTCATTAGTGTGCACCATAAATCAAATTAAGATATTAATATGGTCATCATAAATACCATAGTAAACAAACTACCAATGTGAGTCATGGCGGTTGTATATTACTAAATGACACGGTCCCTTCCATGTACCACAACACTAGTAACCCATTTAACATAGTCTATAAGTGAGAAGCATCAATAAAGGTCTAGCAATAATGTCTTTTCTAAGACTATTCATGTTTTCATCATTTAAAGTAATACATGCATGTACATACATAAATTAACAGGAAATAACAGAAACACATTTTAATGAGCTCAAAATGTCAAATATATATAAGTATTGTTAAGCAAAATATCATCAACATATAGAATCAGAAATATAAACTTACTCCCACTAACCTTCTAGTATATTCACCAATCAACAGTATTTTCATTAAAACCAAAAGAAGTAATAGTATCATTAAACTTAATATACCATTGTCGAGAAGCTTGTTTAAGTCCATATATTGACTTCTTAAGTTTACAGATCATGCGTTCTTTACCCTCTAATCTAAAGCCTTCAGGTTGATCCATATAGACTTCTTCTTCTAAACTCCCATTTAGGAAAGCTGTTTTCACATCCATTTGATGCAACTCTAAACCATAATGAGCTACAAACGCCATGATAGTTCTAAAGGAATCCTTCTTAGATACAGGAGAGAATGTTTCTTTATAATCAATGCCTCCTATC